GTGAAGTTAAGATGACCACAGACTATGTGACCCAAATGGAGTCAGACCCAAAAATGTTTGGTTTTTATATTATTTCCAAAAATAAACAGTAATTTTTATTACAAATAAAAAATAACATTCTATTATTCTAAAATATTAAATATTCACAATTATGACTGTTGAGATCTACATTGCTTTATTTTATATAGTTCACCTATTTTTATATCATTATGACTTTGAAATTATTATTGTGACATTTGACGAATAAAGATTTTGTTAAAGTCATATCAAATTTTAATTTTCTTTGGATATTTCTATATATCTGGCTAAAATACTTTCTTCAAATTATGGGCCCAGGCACAAAGTGTAATTAGAGATATTCCAAGAAGAGATTCAAGAAAATCAACAATTATCTTGAAATTTGAAAACGGTTGACAAATAATTCAAAATCAATGTTCCAAATGGACAAGTTTCCAAAAATGGAAAAATTATATGGGTCTCAAAATTTTCACTCATGGAAAACAATGGCGTATGCCTATCTAGACCTCAATAATCTATATAAAATTGTTGCTGGCGAAGAAAATAATCCAAAGTTGGATCCACCAAAAACAGATCCTACTAGTAAAGACTATGAAGCAGTTATGAAAGCATACGAAGAAAAATGTAAATATTAGCGCTATCGACACTCGCTCCCAACAGCGTTTATTTTATTTAATGTCGACTCAACAATTACTCCTCAAGTTACATGCTTTATTGATTCTTGGGACATGTGGTAAACCTTGAATTATACTTTTGATATCAAAAACGAGTACTCCTTACACGCCCTAGTTAAATCTCTTGTGGGCGTTAAATATGAATCTAAACATGATATTGTAAGTCATATTGCTAAATATAATGAACTCCGAACGAAGCCAGTGACTCATTGGAATCAGCCTTGCGTCCTCTAGTTGTTTCAACTAAAGCGAAAGGCTCCTTGTTTCTCACCACTTTACCCGATGAACTTGAAAACATTATTGATAATTTGAAGACCAAACTAAACTTGACTTACAATGATATTTGTATGAGATCAATGGAGTTAACCACATCCAATATGTTTTTAGCATCACACTCTGAAAACAATTAGTCTCTTTTGTTAAAAACAAATAAATTAAAATCAAATAAGTCTTTTTAAGAGAATACTCATATTGTAAAGAAAAGATAAAATGGTATAAGGGTCACTCAATACAGTACTCCAGGAATAAGAAAAAAGATGAACAAGAAATCGCTCGACTTGGTAAGGAATCTGAAGAAGATGGCGAAATTGCATTTCCAGCAGTTCAATCACTTAACTTAGGAAATGAGTGGATTTTTGACACTGGTGCCACAACACATATGTCTGGAAATAAAAATGCTTTTACTTATCTACGTCCTTATTCAGGATATATCCAAATAGGAAACGACAAAAAGATTCAGGCAATGTCCGGTTAAATGCATTGTTGCCAAATAGACCTTCAGTAAGAGTAGTTCTTCATGATGTGCTGTTTTCTCCAGATTTAAATGCTCGCTAAGTCGTGGGAAGTAATTAAATCGAAAGGAATTATTATGAAAGTCAATGCGGAAGAGATAACGCTATGAAAAAAAGAAAAATTAGTTGGATGGGTCATTTCAAAAAATAAGGAAAACGTATTTCAAGAGGTTACTTTAGAATCTGTAAATGTAACTTCTGCTGTTTGGCATCGACGTCTGGGACATTTTCCTATTAGTTCATTCAAAGACATTAGGGATGTTGTTGATGATCTTGAGGTTCTGCCAAAATAACGAACAACTGCGATTAATTGTGTAGCATGTTCCAAATCTAAAATGACGAGAAAGAAATCAAAAGAACAAGGTACCAGTTGTAAAAACATTTTGGAAAAAGTTTAATCTGATATGGATATGGACCCTTTTCCACTGAATCTTTTGGTAGTAAACGGTATTACATTTCTTTTATAGATGAATACTCTCGCTATACAGAGATATATTTTTTGAGATATTAAGCTGAAGCAGAAAATAAAATAAAAGAATACATAAAGAAAATGGAAAGGCAGATGGAAAAGGAAATAAAAATTTTTAAATTTGATAATGGTGGAGAATATTCTTCTAAGAATTTGCAAACATTTTTTAATTCCGGTGGTTTTGAAATAGAAAGATCTATCCCTAGAATTCACGAAACCAATGGACTAGCTGAGAGGTTAAATCGTACCATTGTTACAATGGCTAGAACAAGTTTAATCGACTCCGAGCTTTCAAATGGTTTTTAAGCTGAAGCAGTGGCACATGCAGAATATACAAAAAACAGATTACCCCATGCCTTTACCAAAAAAACACCGTACGAATCGTTTCATAAAAAAAAACAGAAATAGGACATTTGAGAGCATTTAGACAAAAAGCATATATACACATTCCTAAGCAATCGAGAAAGGTAGGAAATAAATTTCAGCCGAGAACAATAGAAGGCAGTTTAGTCGGCTATGGCAAAAAACCTGGATGGTATCGCTTTTGGACAGGGAATAAAGTTACTTTATCTAGAGATTTTAAATTTGCACCAGAAGAAGATTTTATTTTTATTCCACCTATAACAAAACAATTAAATAAAGACAATTGTATTGAAAATAAACAAAATGTTGATAATAAAAAAATAATAACAGACCCACAGTTAGAATACCCTGTGGAGGAAAAACAAAATAAATATAAAGATAAAAAGTGTCTGCCTTCAACTTCTAAACTCAGACGCAGCAATAGAGTTGTAAAGCCTCCATCCCGCTATGGTGATGAAAGTTGCAAAATTGCTGTAGATAAACCTGCCAATTATAATGAAGCAATTTCTTCACCAAAATCAAAAAAAAATTAATTAAGGCCATAAATGAAGAATTAGAGTCCATGCTGGAGCATCAAGTTTGGAACACAGTCGACTTACCAGAAGGAAAGAAAGTAGTTTATTGTCGATGGATCTTCAAAATAAAATTATCACAAAAAGGGAAAATTTGTAAATATAAAGCTCGACTTGTAGCTCAAGGCTATATTTAAATACATGGAGTGGATTATGATGAAACATTTTCGCCAGTGATACGATATGAAACAATTAGAATTCTTCTGGCCCATTGCATTCACAAAAATTTAGTAGTCAGACAATATGACATAAAACTGCCTATTTATTTTGAAGTTTATATGAAGATTCCAGAAGGTGTAAAATCAGAACCAGGGAGAGCATGTTTCCTGCAAAAGAGCATATACGGATTAAAGCAAGCACCTAGGCAGTGGAACTCCGTTTTGGTCAGGACTCTAAAGGAAATTGATCTTGTTTAGTCAAGCGCATACTCATGTTTATTTATCTCTGAAGATAAACATCAAATTGTAGCTATTTATGTAGATGATATTCTAGTTCTTGAAACTACCATATAGAAAGTACAAGGTATAGAAGATATTTTAGCGAAAAATTTAAAAGTTATATTTCTTGGTATACCCAAATATTTATTATCTTTACAAATAGAATGGGAAAAAGATTTTATGCTTCTCTCTCAAGAATTTTATTTTAAAATTGCTTGAAAAACATGATATGTTGAACTGCAATCTTGGGAGTACACCTATGGATACTGGTTCTAAACCAGTAAAAGCAATTTCTACTAATAAAAGAACTGATAAACAACTCTATCAATCAAAGATAGGAAGTCTTTTATATCTTGTGATAAAAACCAGACCAGATATAACATATACTGTTAACGTTCTTTCCCAATTCTGCGTTGATCCGACTGAAACCCATTCGCGTTTCATTCATCATCTATTCCGATACCTGAAAGAAACAACCAAAGAAAAATAACCAAAGAAAAACTAATTTATAGAGCTACAGGATGTCCTTCGCTAAGAATGTAAAGTGATGCTTCATATGCGAGTTGCTCAGATGATCGAAAATCATACATACATACTATAGTTTGCTACGAAAAAACAAAATTCTGTTGCAGTCTCAACTACTAAATCAGCAGCTTGTAGACAAGAGATATGGATGACCTACATAATTAAAGAATTACAAGAAAATTTGAATGTAGAACTATTGTGTGACAATCAAGCAAGTATTAAATTGTCACAAAATCCCATCTTACATCAACGAAGTAAACATATTGACGTACACTATCATTTTGTAAGAGAAAAATTATTTCAGAAAATGATAGATATTGACTATATACCTTCCAAAGAAAATCTAGCAGACTTACTGACTAGGGCATTAGAAAAAATTCAGTTTGAATACCTACGCTCAAAATTTATGTTAAATACGCAATGAGGGAGAGTGTTGAGATCTACATTGCTTTATTTTATATAGTTCAATTATTTTTATATCATTATGACTTTGAAATTATTATTGTCATATTTGACGAATAAAGATTTTGTTAAAGTCATATCAACTTTTAATTTTCTTTGGATATTTTTATATATCTGGCTAAAATACTAATACACATTTTTACTTGAAATTTATTTCATAGTTACATTTGCAGATTCAAAGTAAAATATTCAACATTAATAAAACTATATAATAGTAAAAAGTTTGTTTATAAAGCAAGTATGTCATTATCTTCATTAATTTATTTAATATAATTTATGTAAATAAACATTAAAAAATCTAAAACTGTTTGCATGGACGTAAAGGTAATGAACATTTCTTTCAAATGAGGTATCACATGCGGCATTTTAAGCAAACTATCTGTCCGCCTTCATCACTCAACATATAGAATTAATTTGTAGACACGTCAATCTACAAATGAAAAGAATGATGCAATGATACACCTTATTATTTAGGACCCCCCAACCGTGAGTATTTATTAATAGTTATTTGTTAGAACACAACAGTTTTGAATATTCATAATTTCTAGAAAATTTTAAATAAAACACCTTTTTTAAATGAATCACATATATTTAATTTTTTAATAGACGATGAATTTGATCCCAATATTTTCTATAAGTAGATTTATGTACAGGAAATAAAGAAACCAAAAGTACTAATGCCAAACCTTTTATTAGTTTAACAAAAATGCTTTAAAAACTCTTAAATAGGAATGAGAAGCTCAGATATCCTTAATGGGTTTTTTTTAAGTACACCATCAAATAAGGAACCAATTCTACAAAAAAAAATATATAAAAAAAAATAAAATAATGTGAAAAAGGCTAGATTACCGCAGGATCAGCTCCATACATGCAAAAATTGAAATTGGATGCTTTTTCGCACAAATTGGCACCATCTAGAAAACGAAAATCATAATGGAAATATACAGAACTATTTAATATTATTAATAATAAATCGATGACGTAGAGTGAAACCCTCGTATGTCCAAAATAGAAAATTTTACAGAAGACAGATAAAATGGCTCTTAATGGATACGTTGATTTACATGTATGTCACTGGAAGTCTCTAGAACTTGTCGCTTTTAAGACAGAGCTGCCAGATTTATTCCTTTAATGGCTTATGAGGTACTAATTTAAATAAAACTAAAAATATTTTCACTCTACGCCATCGAAATCGTCTTTATTTGTACTAAAAGAAAAAAGTATAATTTCTGATATTCTTACACCTAATCTAAAAAATATTCAGGGTGTTCCAAAAAGTTTTATTTTAAATTTCACAAAACAAAATATTCCTGATAAAAAGTACTACATTATTTAGAAACTCATTCTGTAAAATATAGGTGGAATACAGGAAAAATAAAAATAGTGATTTATAATGAATAGTAATCTATTTTCAAAATTCAAAATAAAGGAAAATATTATTTCAAATATTGACAGGAATTTTTAAATTTTACTAATTTTATGCTTTATTATGGAATTTTAAGTGATGCAGAATATTTTCATCATTTTTTTTTTAAATATAAGATTAACTTTTTCCCACTTGTATATACATTTTTGAAAGACACTGTATATAAATTATTTCTTCAGATTATATATATGATTTTTACATTTTAGTCAGTTAGTTTAGAATTGAAATACGAGGGCTGTTTTTAAGTTTTGCATACCGTGCATTAGAGGGCGTTACAAATCAAACGACTCCAATAAAAATAAACTGTCGCCTTTAGTTAACCTCACTTCCAAGTTTCAGTCCGATTCATAGAGTGTTGTAGTTACACCGAATTTTCAAAGTTGACAAGTTATTCAAGAAATGGATTTAAACCGAGAACATTTTAGTGCTATAATTTTTTACAACTTTCGAAGACTATATCTTAACAAGAATGCCTCGCCGAGTTGGTTTCTGTTTTCGGTAGTGATGCACCACATCAATCGACAATTTCTCGTTGGTATGGAGAATTTACACGAAGACGAGTTAATCTTAGTGACGAGCCAAGAACAGATGCACCTAAGTCGGTAGTCATCCAGGAAACCATTGATGCTGTGCGCAGGCATGTGACATATCGCGAGATTAAAGCATCCTTAGGGATTTCAAAGACTTCAGTCCAAAAGATTTTGCATAAAGAATTAGGAGTAAAAAAATTAGTGTCCCGTTGGATACCGCATCTGTTGACTGAAGAACAAAAAGAAGCTAGGGTAAATTGGTGTCAAAAAACTCTGGAGTGCTTCAACGCTGGAAACTCTAAAAACGTGTACTGCATCGCAAGTGGTGATGAATCATGGATTTACTCATATGAACCTAAAAATAAACGCCAATCGTCTGTTTGAGTTTTCCAAGGTGAAGACAAGCCGACAAAAGTGATCCGTTCTCGAAGTGTATCTAAAAAGATGGTCGCAACATTTGTCTCCAAAGCAGGTCATGTTACAATAATTCCTCTGCAAGACCAAAGAACTGTTACTGCCGATTGGTATATAAAGATTTGTTTGCTTTGTTTGCCAGCAATCGCTAAGCTTCGGGAAACCAACCACAAATGAAGAATCATCCTTCATCAAGACAATGCAACAGAACATCGAGTTGTTAGATCACCCTCCTTACAGTCCCAACGATTTTTTTACCTTTCCGAAAATCAATAACGCACTGCGTGGGCAATGGTTCCAATCACCAGAAGATGCACTTCAGGCATTCAAAACCGCCATTGGAGCTGTGACACCCTAGGAGTGGAATAATTGCTTTCAGAGCTGGTTCGAGCAATGCAAAAGTGCATTATTCTTGGAGAATACTTTGAAAAACAATAAAATGTTTAAACACTCTCTGCTGTTTTATTCTAGGTCTATATGCAAAACTTAAAAGAGAGCCCTCGTATTATTTAAATAATATATTACATAAAAAGTAAATATGTTGCAAGATCTGTTGTTAAGGAGCACTTTTAAAACTTTCAACTGAATGTAATTGCTTGAGATCACTAACGAGTATTCAACAATAGCTGTATCTCACGTGATCTGATTAAACAAGAAATGGGCGTTTTTAGTGACATCTCAAGTATTATTTCTGTCAAATGGGTCAGTGTCATTGTTTAAGGGTCACTAGTGAAATTATTAATATTACTGCTAGCAAACTGATGGCATCAATTACGTCACGTGGGAAACGAATATTGTTGAATTATTGAACAAAGACGTTATCCGAAAATTCTTGTAAAAATTGTAGTTAAGTAGTGAGACATAATCAAAGCGAAGTTATTACAAATGGTAACATTAGTAAAGGGGCTAGGAGAGTTCTAGCACAATTCTTACGTAAATTAACATGGGAAATCGCTAAGGTTCATTCTGCTAATTTTTGTCCATATCAAGGTCACTTGTCTTGACGTCATGTGTCGTGACATCACCAGCCAACTGTTGCCAACCTGACCTAACCAGAACTGATCCCGACTGATCCGGAACTGATCCGGAATCGTTTTAGAACTGATCCGGAACTGATTTGGATCAGTTCGGAAACAGTACCAGATCAGTTTCGGATCAGTTCGAGATCAGTTCCGGTCAGTTCGGGATCAGTTCGAGATCAGTTCTGGTTAGATTAGGTCAGGTTGGCAACATTTGGCTGATGACGTCATGACACGTGACGTCAAGACGAGTGACCTGACAAAAATTGGCAGGAAGAACTTTAGCGATTTCCCATGTTAATTTATGTACGGATTGTGCTAGAACTCTTCTAGCCCCTTTACTAACATTATGCTTTGCTATGTAGAGGTAAGTGGTAACTCTGTATTTTAACGTGTGGAGGGTGGATTGTCTCACTAAACCCATTGTACATGGGCTCTTTTGGAGTACACATTAGTAAAGCGTGCGAGAAAGCCGGTAATAAAACATTGAATACGTATAAATCTGTCTCTCTCATGATCCCTCTATACATCCTAGCTCTGAGAATTAACTACGCATGCGCATTCAAATTATCATCCATGTTTACGTATGTAGGTAACGTTACGGGCTCTGATGTAAGCACATAACGCAAACATTTAACCTATTTTCTTATTGAAAAAGAAAAAATCCTAAATACTACTTGTCATTTTTTGCCATGACTTAAAATAATATTTAACTTTCATAGAAAATACATTGGAAAATCGCATTTAACAGTTGAACAGAAAAAGAGGTTTCATATTTTGGACTTTATAAACGTTATTTTGTGCGTTTACGTTTATATTAACGTGAACATACTGAACATTCTCTACTAAAATAAGGAAGGGAAAGGCAAATATTTATTTTTGATTTTAGTTGATAATATTGTTGCCAGAGATAACAGAGACATAACCATGACCATTCATTGATAAAATATAATATTCACGATGCCAAGATTAGTTGGACAATCAATACGCTCTATTTGTAGGCCCGCGGTAAGGAGACGAAAGGTGAGAAGTAAGAGAGGGGATACATAGAAGAATATTACGCAAATGCAACATTTTTTTATTATTGAATAAATGTGTAAGACGCTGTGCGCTTATAATAAACAACGAAAATATCCATGTTAGTGTCCTGTTGCTACTTCCAAACTAACATGACTAACATCTAATTTAGTGAAATTACATCTATTCTTATTTAGTTAAATTTGATATAACTAACGATTCAGAATAAGTGTTTAGTCGACAGTCTAAACATGTTTAGAAATGTCAGTGCGTGTCAAGGAACTTCTGGACAATATTGACTAAATTGAGTACTACTTAGATGTTTTTCATATTTATATCATAATAAAGTTCAAGTATAGCAATACAGTACAGAATGGATCATATTTAATTCATCAGCTTTGTAGCCTTCTACCGTTTATTTATGTGATTATAAATTAAAAAAATATATTAATTGAAAACTAAAAAATTTACCTTCAATATTTTTGCATTTATTAATGGCAACTACGAGTAGGTCCTTAATCGCAGGATGAGCGGTACTGATGATGAAATCATACTGTATTTTACCATCACCGTCCATCTAAAAATTAATTGCCAAACTGTACAGGATGATTCACCGAAAAAGCAACAATTTTATTATCTTGAATAAGAATTTGTTGAAAATAACGCGAAAACAAGTCTAGTTTTATGTCAACGGGGGCACCTTTTCATATTTAGCTCCGGCTATTATTTAAATAGGACAAGTAGACATTGTCGAAAAGGTAATTTTATAGAGAATTCAGCAATTGCGTTACTTTTGTTTCAGCACCCTTTAGCGGGATAACAAACTTGCGTATTCTAAATTAATGTCCAAGCTAATTTTATTTAATACAATACATAATTGAATTAAATATAAGATTTTTGCCTTAAAGATAAGATTTTAAATCAATTAAACTTAATTTGCAATCAATTAAAATAACAAATTTATGCAACGCCTTCTCTTGGAATAAAAATCGACTAATTTTTGCAGTTATTTTACATTTCTCCTTCAAGATATTCTATCTGTTTTGTTTTCGGTGACTCTCCCTAAATATTATGTTAAAATGATTACTGGCTATAATATTTTTCTAGTACATAAGGAACACTTTTATCGCTATATACTTTTAAATAATAATATTTGCAGAGTGGAGTGAAAGTTAACGAGGATTTATCCCCTAAAGTTGTTAACTTTTTGTTCGTATGACACTGGCAAAATAGTTTCTACTATTAAATTGAACTGTCAGTTGAGACATTAAAACTTTCTCAAACATTTAGAAAGTACATTTTAAGTAATACAAAAATTTATATCCAATAATCATTTTTTAGTTTTTATATTTAACACCATCTTTGGTTTAATCTCCATAATTTGATCTAGATTATTTTCAGTTGTCATTAATATTTACTTAGGTCCTATATATACAAAAAATAGATAATTTTGGTTTACTTTGTATAATTGGATACGAAAATTAAAGCCTAAGGCATGTAAAGCAAAAATTAGCATTTATAAAATATATGTTTTGCTGATACTCACCCATTTGGCATCTTGCATAAGGCATTTCATGTAGCACTACAAAATAAATAAGATTACACTGATATATCTAATAATTTTTCATAGTTATCAAGCTTACCATTAATTTGGGATCGTGAGGATTATTGACGATGTCGTATGCTGCATGGTCAGCTGAAGAAAAAAATAAAATTTATAAATATTTATTTTTATTTTTATAAAAAAAATATTCGTTACCCACTTTCTGTTATCCCAGATTTCGTAACGCAAATGTTGTGAAGATCTTTTACGTATTCTTCCAATTCTGGTGGAAGTTCTAACTGAAAATTAAAGAAAGTAAATATGAAAATCGTATTCCATACCAATCTTGTAAACATTTTCACATGTTCTGCAAGTCAATAACTCAATTATAAGTATTAAATAATATGGGTTAGTTGGCTAGTTAGTGCAGAGAGTAGAGTGCTGACTTGGCATGCGAAAGGTCGGGTTCAAATCCAGAATAGAAGACAAATTAAAGTTAGTTTATTATATTTTATGAATTACTAAAAGTCATAAATAATTTTTAAAATAGTTATTTTATTTTTATAACATCTAAATTCATTTTTAAAATTTAGAACTTGCTAGATGTCTAGGGACATATACAGCTAAAATATATTCATCTATTTGGCGCTTTCAGTTATACAGGAGTAATTTTTGGGTTAAATTGGGTATAGTCCCTGATTTAAGAAAGGGAGAGTGGTATTTCTCAGACACCAATGTGTAATAATATGTCAATTAAAGATACCAGACTGGTTGAGCATCTCACCAGTGTTCAACAACATATATTAAAAGAAATAGTTAATGAATATACGTTGAATGTAAAGAATATTAATCTAGGGTTAACTAATTTAATACAGCATAAAATAGATATTGATGAGAATATATCACCAATTAAACAAAAATATTATCGTGTTAGTCATCATTTACAACAAATTATTAACCAAGAGATGGAAAAAATGTTAGAATTAGATTTTATTGAACCTAGTAAAAGTGAGTGGTGTTCACCCATAATGCTTGTTCAGAAATCCAATGGTACTTATCGATTTGTAGTAGATTTTAGAAAAGTAAATAGAGTTGCCAAGAAACCAGCTTATCCTTTACCTTTTATTCATGACATTTTGGATCAGCTAGGCCAGGCTAAATATCTTACCAGTTTAGACATTAGGTCTGCTTATTGGCAGATACCTTTAGAAGAAAATAGTAAACAATATACTGCGTTTTCCATACCAGGCAAAGGCTATTTTTAATTTAAAAGACTTCTTTTTGGCTTGCATGGGGCCCCAGGTACTTTTTAAGCTTTGGTAGATAAACTATATGTAGATTTATGTCACTTTGTGTTAACTTATTTGGACGATATAATTTTAGTTAGTTCAGATTTTGAGAGTCACACTAAATTAATTAAAGAAGTTTTAAAACGTTTACAAACTGCGGGTTTAACAGTTAGATTAAATAAATGTAAATTTTGTCGAGAAGAATTAGAATATTTAGATTATAAGGTAAATCAATATGAATCCATATAAAGTTAGGGCGATTGTAGAAATGCCAATTCCAAAAAATGAAAAACAGGTTAGGAGAATAATAGGGATGTTAAGTTGATATCGTAGATTTATCAATGATTTTTCAATAGTCATTTCTCCTTTGTCTAGATTGACCCGAAAAAATGTAAAGTTTGTTTGTGGTAATGAATATTAAGAATCATTTAATAAAATTAAGAGTCTACTCGTGAGTAGTCCTGTCCTAGCTTGTCCGAATTTTGATTATCTGAATTGTGATACCTCAAATGTTGGTTTTGGATGTCTTTTAACGCAGTATTATGATGGCAGAGAACATGTCATAGCTTATATATCTAGATCGCTAACCAAAACAAAATCTAAATACATGGAGCGATACAATTAGAATGTTTGTGTGTAATATGATCAATAGAAAAACTAAGATGTTATATTGAAGGAAGTAGATTTACTGTCTACACCGATTGCTATAGTATTAAGTGGCTAAATGAGTTAAAAATTCCTCAAGGTATTTAAAATTGCAAGCTTACGATTTCGTTATTATTCATTGCAGAGGTAAAGATAATGTTGTAGCGGATTGTTTATCTAGAGCAGTTCCAGCTCAGATTAATAGTATTGCAGTCATGTCAGAAATAGGAATCTCTAAAGATCCTTGGTATGAGCGGATGATAGAAAAGGTTAAACAAAATCCAGAAAAATATGATGAGTGGAGAGTTCATGGACAGTGTCTTTATAAAAGAGTCAACTTAAGTTTATCTGAATTAAAACCTGATTTAGATGCTTGGAAGGAAGTTGTAGCAAAAATTTTCGTAAGGGAATTTTAGAAAAATATCATGATATTGTATTAACTGGTAGTCATTTAGGTGTTTATAAAACTTATAATAAAATTTTGGATAAGTTTTTCTGGCCTGGTTTAAAAATCTGATGTTTATCAATACATACGTAAATGTTTAGTATGTAGTAGACATAAGACTTTACAAAAGTTACCTGCTGGTCAAATGGGTAGTAGACCAGATAGTAAACAACCTTTTCAACTGATAACTTCCGATTTATTTGGTCCATTGGCGATTTCCAATGGATATAAATATATCTTGGTAATCTCGGATTATTTTAGTAAATTCTCTATATTTTTGCCTTGAAGAATAAGTTTTCTTAATATATGGTGTACCAGAGTTCATTATAGTAGATAATGGTGTGCAGTATAGTAGAAGTATTGATTTTAATAAATTGTTGGAAGAATATGGAGTTACTCCTTTATATAATGTTCTCTATACTCTGCATCAGAATCCTAACGAACATGTTAATCATGTGCTAAAGACGGTACTTAGTTACTATGTACAGGAAAATCATAAAACTTGGAGTAAAAACTTAGCTCAACTAGCATGTGCATTACGTACAGCTAGATATACCTCATTCTTTTCAGTCTTTGGGCGAGAAATGGTTCTTAAGGGTAAGGATTATAAGAATTTTAAACTTAGGGAACAAGTTAGTGGAATGCCTGATCTTAAAACAGTCGATGAAAGGGTAGGTATAAAAAGTGAAGATTTAAAGAACTTGCAGCAAGAGATCAGAAAGAAATTGAAGAAGGTTTATGAGGTAACAAAGAAACGGTATGATCTTAGGAAACGTTCAGTAAGTGTTAAAGTCGGTGATTTGGTTTAAAAACGGGATTTTTCAATTTCAAGTGCAGCAAATTATTTCACTGCCAAACTAGCACCTAAATTTAGTGGACCTTATAAAGTAAGAAAAAAAAAAGTGGCTTAAATACTTATGAATTGGTCAATGATAAAAATAAATCGCTTGGAACTTGGCACATCAAGGATTTGAAGCCGGATTTTACTAGAGGATAGGATAATATGTCATTTTCAGAGGTGAATACGTAACGACAATTTGGTTTTTCGGGAAGTTAAGAACTTTCATTAGTTTATTCTTGGGAGGGCATCACACTTTAAAAATTGAATCCCCAAACATCACATCTGCTTTGGAAGACAGTAAAGGTAGAATAGTCATTGTAAATTCGCTTTTACTGTGGTTATTAATTTCAGTTTTATTATGAAGTGAGTATCATTGTCTGAAATTTGTTGTAAGGTCTGGTTTGTTTATATTGCTTTTGGGTTATTTGGGATGAGTAAGTAACTTATTATTAAAACGATTTTTTTTGGGGTTTGAGGTATCAACATACTAATTGAATTTGTACATACTAAGGGTTTTGGACAAAATCGTCAAAATAGTCTGTCATTTTAATATCTAGATTCTATAAATGCTAAAATAAAAAATTAAAATAATTCCAACTTGTCTAAAAAATATTTTTTTGGATAATTTTTTTCCGAATGTTATATGTTGTGCAGTAGCAAAATAACTGCCAACCCTTGATTCTAGATCTACTAACAAAGATACAGTTTTTTATGATTTCAAATTACCTAAAACACCTTTCTCAACTCCCCGACTATTAGAATTTTTTACTTCTCATACAAGGAAGGTCAAATAATAATAATATTTAAAAAGCAAACTACAACTTAAAACCAATAAAAAATATAAATAATTCTTGTTTAATATTTTAAAATACTTACACTTTCAGCAATGACAATTATAGTTAAAAAATACCCGATAAACTTAATCATTTTTTTAAACTAACGGTACAGATGATCGATATCAGAATTAAAAAGAGGAACAAAATACAATACGAAACGCGAATTCGATCTTAAATACCTTCATTAAGCGGATGTCAAGCGTTTGTCGTTTCAATCAAATTTTTAATAACACGTTTAAAACCCCTGATTAATTCATTAAAATTATTAATTAGCCATTTCGCGATATCTTGAATGAGAGTTGTTAATTTTTTTTATTATGGTGCAGAGGTACTTGAATTACCGATTATTATCGATGATTACAGAAAAGAATTGTTTTCCGGATACGGCTGAGTTAGTTTGGTTACCATGAATGAGATGGATTTGTACAAAGGGATAATAATTTCTAGTAATGAAAAACGACTTTAAAAAGAAGGAACTCTACGTAATTTTCAGGATTTTGTTTTAACAGGAGAAGGCTAAAATTGAGAATTACCTTTTTTATTTCATTTGTGAAACATTCTCTTTAAAAGCCTGGCATCAATTTTTATAATGGCCCTATGCAATCTCATTGAAGGAATTTAACATTAATATTATGGGAAAGTACTGGAAAAGTGCAGGCCTTTCATTACTTATTTCTGGTAAAGTGACTTTCCATATGCGAGCCAATTAAAGGGAAGTTAATAATTAATAGTATGAGACTTCTGGCCACCACTTATGCCTGGTAAAGATACGGGCTTTATGTAAGCCCATTAAATGGAAGTTACTATTAATAAAATGGGACACTGCTGGCCATATACAGGTATTTCACTACTATTGCCGGTAAAGTGACGACGGCCTTTTGTCGTCCGTTGTGACAAAAAGTCGACTTACCAATGCCCGACCACCAACGAAATGCCACTACTTGAAGTAACGTACATACGTTTAAAGGCCGTTAACTTACCATAACATAATGTTTGTTACATGGGACCACAACTTTTTTAATAAGGGGCATATATAAGGTAAGCAGGCTACCAAGATAGGCCGCTACAGGGGCCAAACACATATGCAGCAGCAATTGGTTAAAATGGGCGGATAATAATTTTGAACCCTTTAAGTTTCTAGACATGGATGGGATATTTTTCGCCCTGCTTCAGCAGGCAAAGGAGAAATTATTACCACGTATAATATTGTCACGACTCGTATAAATTCATATTTTTCCTAATTTTAATTAATTATTTAAATAACATCCTATACATAAAACTTTGTTTAAGTATGTCGACAATTTGTTTTGAATCGCAAGCATGTGCAAGGTTGATTATTTAATTATTATTAAACACTGGTTTAATAACAATAAACTATGAAAAAGTTATAAAGGTAATGTCGAGGGGATGCGCAGAGAACGGATCCTCCCTATAGGAGATCCCCCTTGTAGGAGATTCCCAGTAGCAGCTCCAGCTCATGATCTTCATAGTCTAATTTAAAAGTCTTTATTTTGTATTTTGAATAATTGCATTTTTCAATAGTTAGCTAAGAGTTGTGACATGTGCCCAAATATTAGTGGAGTTGGTAAGTCTACGTTTTGTGTACTTGTTATTACATTGAGCCCATTTTTGTGTATGTCGAGCTGTAGCCTATTTTGTATTTTTATATTAAATATATACTATATTTGTTTTAAGAAAACGTTGTGTTTTCTTTAATCTTCAAGATTTTTAATTGCCGAATAAACCCCCCCATATAGTTCATAGCCACGAAGCTTATTTTAAGGCAATAGAGTCCTTACACGATTGAGGTCTGAATTTGTATATTTTGATTGATAACCCCCGAGACACAAATAGTCCCATAATTATAAAAACACGCATAACGTGACAATATGGATATCCTGAAGCAGCCTGGAGTTTAGATATATACCAGAATCATGAAAAAGGGTCAAAGACAAATTTATTCCAAAAGTAAGGGAGATGTTAACATACATCCTAAATACTTACGATCAATCAGTCTCACATCATTTGTATTAAATACAGTGGAAAAGGCGGTTGATAATTATATCAGATATCCTAGGGAGCATGCCACTATACCACAGCCAGCACCCGTACCAAGTAGGAAGATCTACAGAAACTGCACTGGTACAGCTGACTGATGAAATGCAGGATGCACTGGCAAACAGAGAAATGGTCCTGTGTGCCCTCTTGTGCAAATCTTTCAAAAGAGCACTCGCATACAGAGGATGATAAGCGACTACCTACGAGAACTGCAGTTACACAAATAAAAGTTTGCTGGGAATAACATTATCGTTTGAAGTAAGGATTACTGCAGAATGGTCTAAATCGTTATCAAAGTTTTTTAGAAGAGTGATATGTAAATTCAAATTCTGCTACTGCTCGATGCAATTCTTTTTCTTTGACTGTGATAAATATTGAAATGGTATTTTTGGAATTGTAATCTCCGCCTATCATAAATTTGTTTCCTAGTTTTTTAAGTAGGTACTAGGATAATTTTCTTTTTTCTGGTTGTGTCTTGGTGGACAATACATTGCAGCTATTACTGTTATTAAATGAAATTATGTGTAAATTTATTTTAAAAATGACAGATTCATTTTAAAAAATGTGCCAGTTACTTTTCGACTCGACTTGACCAGCAAGCAGTATAGTGTTTCCTGTGGCCCTATTCTGGAATGTCTATTTCTAAATGTCATACGCGACATGTCGAACAAGAACGCGAAAACGTATTCTCATCATAGCGTTTTCGACTAGTGAAACTGGTGCGCACTTTTTAACACTCGGTGCAAAATTTGTTTTCGACTCGTAAAAGCAGTGCGAACCGGGTCAGTTTTTGAATTTTCGGTTGGAATCAGTTGAAATCATAAAAATGAACTGGTGCGCACTTTTGTGAACCGAGTGTAGAGAGAGGTTTTCAGTTTCAGTTCAGTCGTAACAAATATGGCGATGGCAAATGAAGAGTTGTTTCTAAAATATGTATATTTTTTATGAAGAAATATTGGAAACTTCTTCGTCAGATTCAGACAAAGAAGATTTAATTAAGGCCAAGTTTAAGAAAACTAAACTGCCAAAAATAAAAGATTACATTGAATCGGTGGTGTCGCACCTGGATGACTCCCAGGTAGGTACCATAAATATTCTTGTAATTCCTGTATATGCATAGTATACGTTAACATTTAAGAACTTAAACATAAGTAATCTGTTGATAAAATATTCTATAGACAATATTAAATAAATGTTTAAAATGAAAGCTTGTCTTGGATCTTGTTTGGAATTTGGAAGGTACTACTTCTACTTATCACTCAAATACAATACACTGGATAGTCAACTGTGTGTTCGGTTGGAAATAGTATGACGTGACTAAATTGAACCAGTGCTGAGCAACGAAAACTCGCACTTCACGAATGTGAACTAAGTGCTATCATCAAATGGCGAATTCGACATTTGCTGTTAGACAAAGTCGAGTGGTATTCAACTAGTCGATATTTTAATGTCGCATACCTTCTTAAAGATAATGTTACAATATAAGTGTTGTGAAATTATAATTTATGTTTAATTTTAGGAGACATGAAAATATGTATTGTATAAATTGTTTTAAAAAAAAATTGATTTGATTAATTACAATTTTACCTAATTTATCACTCATTAGTTCTGTCTGTCTAAGATATTTAATTCCTGTCATTAATAAATTAACATAGCCCTATTTTTTCAAACTGAAGGGAAAAAGATTATACCACAGTCCTTTTATACAGGGTGTCCCGAAATTAGACGGTCATATTTTAACAGCGTAATCTACATCATAAAATATGAGTAAAAATTCATATAAACATAGGTCCGAAAACTTTTCTTTTCCGAGATACAGGGTGTTAAAAGTTAACTCTTGATGACACACTTTTGTAAATATTTTCTAAACATTTAAAGATAACTAAGTGAAATTTGGTACAAGTGCTTACCTTTTTACGCTCTATTTAATAATCTAAACCTCAGTTTTTGATCATCTTCATAGGTGGGTAAATTAGGGGGGCTTAGGGTAAAATTGCCTTAAGTTTTTTGTTGACAGTTTTTGACATTTTTGACTATAAAATTTGAAAACCAATGTCTTCTTTATAATAAAGCAACTTTTGTTGCATCTCGCTAGAACGCACCATTTTCAAGAGAAAAGCAATTGAAAATTTCATGATAAGTAATCTTATCTTATTCGAAAGTGTAAACAATAATTAGTAGACCTGTGGAATCAGAAATTTTACTTTTTTAACTTTGTAAAACCGGTGACTAAAGAAATTTTAGAAATTATTTACAAAAATGTGCTATTAGGACTTCACTTGTAACACCCTGTATCTCGAAAACTAAACGTTTTCGGACCTATGTTTGCATGAACTTCTACTCCTGTTAAAATATGACCGTCTAATTTCGGGACACCCTGTTTAGTGTTTAGATTATATTATAATAATATATTTCTTCTTCTTTCTATTTAATCTCTAACCAAATTGCACCTCCAATTTTCTATTTGATCCCATATGAAATTTCAGTTAAAAAGTTTATATTATATTATCTATACTTTTTAATTAGTATTTATCAAAAATATATACCAATAAAAACTCCCAGGCCGGATATTTTGGTAAGTAATAGAGATATTTTAATTCTGTAAAAGCCAGTTTATAGAGCGCTAGGAGAGCTTCAGTTCTAGATATAAATTGATTTTAAATAGATCAATATGTAGATGGCGCTGCGCTCAATAATTTTTTTTTCGATGGAAGGATCTCTCTTATGTAGCGCATCTTGTAAAAAATGCATTTTTAAAAAAATTTTGTTCTATGAACTAATTCGATAAATCTAGCTATTTTTGATATACAGCGTGGGTCACTCAAAACAGTTTCATCCTGTTTTTCGGCATTAATCATTGGATTTTTAGAAAATGTTAAAACAGGTCGATTTTTATTCCAAATTAAACACATTTTTACAATACAGTTATCTGTCATGTGTCAATCCCCTCCCTTCCACTTCTCCAACCTCTTAATTTTAAATAAGGAATGTACCATGTACGGCACATCATTAAAAAGGTTATTTTATGGGGAAGTCAGAAAGACAGTTTATTGCGATACTTTTAATTTTAGCGCCATCTATCGGTATA